TAACACACATAGACTCCGTTAGCTTCTAGACACAAATTTCTCATCATGCTGAAAACTTTCTCCAAAGTAACCTCTGTTCTTTGTTATATATGCTAAAAATGTTTTTTATAACACTCTCAAGTATTTATATTGAGTTTCATCAAAATTGAAACTTTTGTTCTTCATAAGACACTGTTAAAAAAATGGAGTCAAGCCATAGCATAAGAGAAAATGTTTGCAAATCACATAGTTAATGAAGGACTTGTATGAAGAATATATGAGATTTCTGAAAGCTCAATAATAAGAAAACAACTCAACTAAAATATGGGCACAATTTTGAAAAGAGAGTTCAAAGAAGATATACAGATGGCAACAGATGGCAAATAACCACATGGAAGGATAATCATAGTCATTAGCCATATGTCAATGAAAATTAAAACTTCAATGTGATATAATTACATAGCTATTAGAATGCTATGAAATAAATGAATTAAAAATAAAACTAATAATGCCAAGTGTTGCCAGAGATATGGAGCAAATGTAACTCTCATACGCTCCTGGTGGTAGTACAGACAGTCACAGCCACTTTGGAAAATGGTTGGACGGTTTCTTTACAAGGTAAATGTAAATATATACAGCTCAGTAATCTCACTCCTAGGTGTTTGCCCAAGTGAAATGAAACTTATGATAAGAGAATAACTGTATGAGAATGTTTATAGGTTCTTTATTTGTAATTTCCCTGAACTGGAAGCAACTAAGCTGTTCTTCAATTACTAAATGAATAAAAACAAAACACAAAGTATGATTTGACAATAAAAACGGAATACTACTCAGCAAGAAAAAGGAATAAACTACTGATAAATACAGCAAAATGGAGAAATCTGTAATGCATTATGCTAAGTGAAAGAAACCAGACTCAAAAGGCTAAATACTATGTAATTCATTTGTATGACATTCTCAAAAGGGCAAAACTATAGGAAAGAATTCAAATCAGTGGTTGTAAGAGACCGGGAGAATGAGGCCAAGGGGAATTGACTACTGTATTATCTGTTTCTTTCTGACACATTCATGGCTTATCTCACAGTCTCTGTGGGTCTGGAATCTGGGCACAGCTTAGTTGAGGGCTCCTGGCTCAAGATCTTTCAAGAGGTTGTAGTTAAGCAGTTAAGCTGCCTACTGGCTGCAGTGTTATATGAAGGATCAGCTGGGGGTAGATCTGCTTCCAAATTCACTTACATGATTATTGGCAGGATTCAGTTCCTTGTGGAGTTTGAGCTGAGGTGCTTAGTTCCTCACTGGTTAGCTTGAGGCCTCTCCTAATTCCTTAACATATATGTTTTTCCAAAAGGCAGTTCACAACATGGTGGATGACTTTCCTCAGACAGAGCATTTGAGAGTATGAGAGAGAGTACCCAAGACATAAGCCTCTGTCTTTGTATAACCTAATGTCAGAAGTGAGATCCCATTACCTTGCCCAAAATTATATTCATTAGAAGGGAATTCTTAAATCCAGCCCAAAATCAAGGGGAGGGATTATGCAAGAGATGAACATCCTACAAGGGCACGGAATCACTGGGGGCCGTCTTAGAAGCCACTTCCATAGGACTCCTCTGGATCCCAGGGATTCATTTTTCTCCTACTTCAGAACACCCTCACCTCTCCCAAGATCCCAAGAGTTTCATCCCATGACATTATCAGTTCCAAGTCCAGAATCGCATCGTCTGATCAGGGAGCCATGTTAGAGTCTACTTGCCCTGACCATGAAGTGCCATGAGGAATTTTGGGGGTTGGTCAAAACTTTCCTGTATCTTGATTAACTCATATTACCAAGTACAAAAAAGGGATGAATTTCACTGTATGTAAGTCATACTTTAATTTAAAAAAATAGAAAAAGTTAACAAACTCAAAAATATAACATAGGCACAAACACACATATTACATTAAATTTTGGCCAAATTGAATGATTGGTCAATGTATTAGTAAAATATATTTATACAAATCTTTATTTTAACACTGGAAAACAGCATAAATGTTTCTAACTATATCATTGAAAAGCCATAATAACATACCATATGCTTATATAATCAGTAATTCTCTTGTAGGAAAATAAAATTGTTACAGACTACAACTTATAATTACATTAGTTCTTTGATAAAAAGATGTTTATTCTTAAAAAACCATTTCTTCCTCTCTAATATTTGTTTTTATTCCTTAGAACAGATAATGAAATTCATATATTAGGGGAAATGAACATATTTGTAAATGCACTATTAATTTTTCATTTTGTTTACAAAAGAACTATTGAAACAATTTTCTATAAAATGCGGTTGTATAACCACTTTGAGAATGATTTACTTCAAGTAAGGTGCATAAACTGTGGAAAAAAATCTTATATTTTTTCTTGTTTTTCCTTGTTCTGAAAAGTGACAGAGGTAAGGCAGTAGGATCCAGTTACTGTACCCTGTTTATACAGCTGTACTTCATTGAACAAAGGCTTGTGTTACACACAGTTTGTGATAGGAAGTAAATGCTTTTAAAACAACTAAAGAGATAGGTCTTTAACCTCCACCTTTGTGGATTCTTTGTTCCCCCATTTAGCTTCTGTGGAAGTTATAGGAAGTAATTTAAATATGTTATTACTCTCTAATTGGACCTCATCTGATTAGCTCATCCCCTTCTGAACTCATAACATGAATACATTATGATGAGTTTTTAAAGCAAATCCTGAAAAGTCCAACAAAATGGACAACGATTTTTTTTTTGTAATGAAGTTTGTAAATAATAGGTTCTGAAATGTTTAATAATGGGTATATTTTAAAGAGAAAATGGTGTTTGGATTATTTCAGGGTCTCACTCTGTAAGGAGTTTTAAAAGACTTATGAGATTCACCAAGTTTATTACCTCTTAATAAACTTTCACACAATAGTGCCACAGGATTCTTGGTTTATCTCTTATTTGTAGCTGTATAAACTAGCCAATAAACCAGAGATTAAGGTTCTAGGTTATTTCAAGGATTATACCTGGGAAGTTAGAAGTCATTATGGTCAAGTAGTTTTCATTTGTATAAGAGCAATTTCCTTAATTGCTTGGGTAAAAATAAAGGTTCATTACAAGGAATGATTAAAATGTCAACCAATTAGGATCTGTTACATATAAACTTATGGCTTATGAAAATACTTGTCTCCTCTGAAAATATATAACTTTAATAATAATGACTTCTGATGGGCCCTCTATTCATAATTCTGTTCATAATCTTTCCATTTTCACATAAGTCCTTCTTATATCTGAGCTATCATTTATTTACCAAAATTCTTATGCATATTTTGTTCGGTAACTCCCTACATAGATTGTCCAGAGAGTTTTTCATTTCCTAAATGAATGGCAGAGAAGGCACCCAGATTGGTGGGGGAGGGAATTTATTTATTTGTTTATTTTTCTATCTATATACATTTATATATTTATATGTTTATATCTCCATAATTTTCATAAAATCCTCTTAACAAATTTTATTCTGCCAAGTGCTAGGTATTTTGTCTACTAGTATATGGCAACTGTAAAGACCAATATCCAGGGCACCTGTGTAGCTCAGTTTGTTAAGTGCCTTACTCTTGATTTCGGTTCAGGTCATGATCTCAGGGTCATTAGATGGAGCCCCGAGTTAGGCTCCATGCTGGATGTGGAGCATGTTTAAGAGTCTTTCTCTCTTCCCTCCCTCCCCCAACTCATGTGCACCTGTATCCACACTCTCTCTAAAAAAAAAAAAAAAGATCAGTAACCCATCCAGTATTTCCACTCTTAGGGTCACTGTTCATTCCACATGCATACAAGAATAAAAGATTTGATTTCTAATCTGTGCTGCCATGGAAACAGTGATCATACCACACAGTTAATTCTATCTCCTATATTTGTAGCAAAGAACGGAATTATAGTTAGTTTAGCTAAGAGCATACTTTCTTTTAGCTGAATAGACTATAGTGTGGTATCTGTAATTCTGATAAGAAAAAAATATTCACAGAATGAAAAATGTGGGCTTGTTCTATCTACTTAGGAGGTCATTATAGTGGCATATTGTAGAAAAAACAAACAACTATCCCTTTGGGATGTAAATGAATTGCAAGGCAATATGTGGGTAATCTGCATAATACTTGATGAAAATAAACAACTTACATTTCAGCAATTATGTGGGAGAATTTTAGAAATGGTAGTGTTTGGGTAAGGTACAGGAAGAGCTGTATGTATTAGCTAATATATTTCTGTAAATAAAAATGAAATGTTGGGGCACCTGGGTGGCTCAGTCATTAAGTGTTTGCCTTTGGCTCAGGTCATGATCCCGGGGTCCTGGGATCGAGCCCCGCATCAGGTTCCCTGCTTGGCGGGAGGCCTGCTTCTTCCTCTCCCACTCCCCCTGCTTGTGTTCCTGCTCTTGCTGTCTCTCTCTCTGTCAAATAAATAAATAAAATCTAAAAAATGAAATGTTAAGTCTTAGAACCAAATATTACTCTGCTTTGCCTTTTATTCCAATAGACAGCTTTTTAGACTTCTTAAAAAGCCATCAGGAAGGAATTTTATGTAATATTTCATTCCAAAATTTATGTACCAATTTCTCCCATCACATTATTCTTCTTTAATTATAAATATATTATCACATACTGAAAAATCATCACTATCCATTGACTGTATTATTACAACATTGACAGCTTTTATGATTTGTCATATTATAATAATACATTAGCAAGTATAAATTTTGGAAGTCATTTTAGCTTGCTGGAGGCATTTAATTATATCATATACACTATATATACTTATTCGCTATGTTTCAGTTTTCTTATTTGTAATTTATACCCTCGCTGTTTCCAAAAGTCATTTGAAGCAGCTTATTTTAATTATAATTATATTGGCTAGGTTTTTCAGAGATGTTCCAGATTTTTTTTCCTCAGTTAACAAGAGCAGCATACATAAGTGAAAATGGAAGTTGCTTTGTTCTTATTCTCACGGCTCATTTCAAATTATGTGTTTTGCAGAGGTTAATATCATGTGGGCTGGACACCAAACCCACCACAGTTCTGAAGACTATAACTTATCCACAGCACTGAGACAATCTATTTTGCAAGTATATACTTCCTGGGTAAGTTGTATAAAATTGGATAAATGTGATAATATAATACATTTTTTGAAGTCTCATTTGTTTCTATTTCCTCTAAGTAAACTAAAGAAAATGTTTTAGTAAGAGGCTTTTCCTCCTTCTATAAGGCAAGACACATATGAAGCAAGTGATGTTTTGTAATGGTAGTCTTTTATTTGATAAAACAAAGCAAAGCAAAACAACAAAAAACAACTTCACCTTGAGGTATAAAGCAAGGTGAGAGATGATTGGCTATTTTTTTTTATTTACTATAACTAATGAAAGTGATATGTAGACAATGTGTCTCAGTTCAAATATATGCAAACAAAGATTTCATTTAAACTTTTAGAAGCAGTTTTTAAAAATTCGATTCCCATTTCTGCATGCCCAAGTGAAATCTACTTAAATTCCTTGCTTTTCATTTACATATTAGAGCAGTTAATATGATGCTCAATAAAAATTTTGGCTCTAAAATATTTTTACCCTAGGAAATGAGCAGACTAATGAAAACCAGAAATAGTCTGTAGTTTGAAGTTTCTTCTGATTCACTGGGCAAACCTGACCCACTTGGTAATAGCCCTCATTTCTGATTGTCACTCTTTAGATCTCCATAGCTATCCAAACTACTGCTGCAAAGAGGCATATTGAGCTAGAAGGTCAGCGTTATCGGGGCATCTGGCTGGCTCAGTCCATAGAGCATCTGACTCTCGATTTGGGGGTCATGGGTTCGAGCACTCATTGGGTGTAGAGATTACTTTAAAAGAAAAAGAAAGAGTTATCGATGTGTAAGTGCTATTATAAATTATAATGATCTAACTTTTGTATGGTCCTTTATAGTTTACAAGGCACTTTTAGATATCATTTATTGAATACTTTCTGTGTGCCAGACAATCTTCTAAGACCACTTTATGCATTAACTTATTTGATCTTCATGGCAACTTTAAGACACAGGTACTATTATCACTCTTATTTTAAAATGATGGAACTGAGTTTATAGTTCAGTCACAGAACTAGTAAAGGGAGGAGTTGAATTTGAAATCATTCAACCTGGCTGCAGGGTCCCGGATCTTATCCTTCACACTATATACTCTGCATTTGTCTCTACATTGTTTTTCACTTACATTACTGTGTTAGATCAAGTGTTACTATTATCAGGGGACTGAAAATCAGTGAGGTTAATTACACAGCTAGAAAGTGACAAAACCCCATATTTGAAACCAGGTGCCTCATAACCTATAAAAATGCATATATTGGCAGGTGTTGTAACCCAAACAGCAGCATAGGCAAAACAAATCTATAAGCCAGTGATGGTACAAATACATTTGCTGAAAGAGATATAAAAAGAAATCCACCCCACCACCCCCCATACTACACCCCTGTGTTACAGCTTGTGTTAATTTCCTAGGGCTGCCATGACAAAGTATCACAAACTGGGTAGCTTAGAACAACAGAATTGTGTTGTCTCATACTTCTGGAGGCCAGAAGTCTGAAATTAAGGTGTCATCAGGGCCATGGTCCCCCCTGAAGACTCTAGGGTAGGAACTGTTCTAGTCCTGTCTCTAAAATTTTTAGTTTCTGATAGTTCCTTGGCTTTTAGGAGCATAATGCTGGTCTTCACATGGTGATCTCCCCGTGTCTATGTACAAATTTCTCTTTTTTATATATAAGGACATCAGTCCTTTTGGATTAAGCCCACCCTACTCCATTATGAGCACATCTTAATTTAATTACATCTATAAGGACTCTATTTCCAAATAAGGTCACATTCTGTGGTATTAGGGGACAGGATGTCAACACATGAATTTTGGGGGGACACAATTCAATCCACAACATGCTCTAAGAAACATAGGTGGAAACAAAAGAATTTCTATTATATTATATATATTTCATCTTCTTATAGCTTGTGCTGGAACTCTGGATGATTTGATGTGAAGAAAATACTACCTCTTTCACAGTTGCCTAGCTCAAGACTGGTCTAGAGCTCTAGTGAGTAAAGGCAACAGGCCCCTGATGGAGGGGAGGTATACTGACTATCCTTCCTTCTTAAGAAATAGCTTCATTAATACAAACTTTTATTATCCTTGTACAAAGTGGGCTTCAATATGTGACTGATTGAAATAATAACCTCAAAAATCTTTATTCTTTCCTGAGTTATAAAGATAACTTTGCATAAAGATAACTCAAGCCTCCAGTGCTTACATTTTGGGGGAGAAAGTCTCCAAGAAAAGATGGAGCTGTATCTGAAGTTGCTCAGGAAAATCAAATGCAGTGAGTGAATTGGTTGTCTGAGGAATTATCAAACAAAAACTTTTGTCAGAGCATCATAGACTTCAGAACTAGAAGAAATCTGGGAGACAATATATTTAAATCATCCGTTTAAAAGCTACAAAATCAATCTCAGAGGAGCCTGCTACATCATACAGTATTGAATATTGCTGGTTGGAATTTGAGTCCAACATCTGACTTCAAGTTTATGGTGATCTTTATCCTGGTTTCATTTGTGCCATTCCCCCTATTAAGTCAATACACTCAGTTACAGATTAGCGAAAACCTAAGTAAAATGCAGGTTCACACCTCTTTATTGCCAGTATAAATCCCTTTTACAACCTCATATCATCTTGCCAACGACACAAAATATGCTGAGTAAGGAAATGAGCATTGGGAATGCATCAGAAGCTGTTAATTTGGGGTAGTGGAATGAGCGGGGGTGGGGAGGATTTGCAGTGTGGGGAATGAAAGGTAGAGATTGTGAATCCACCTGGATTCTTGTCTAGCATTTGTAGGTTTGTTAGAAGATGGCGTAGATAAAGTGTCTGTGATAGTTGGTCTTTCTAGACATTAAAATCAAAGACCATCATCAGGTTTTTCTTTGAGTCTTCTTAAAGATTCTTTTCATTAGTGCTGATAGGTAAGGTGTATAACTTGGTAGTTTGTTAGCTAACAAATAATACATGTCTTTGAAAAGAAAATTAACTTGTATAATGAGAAGCAAAATTAATCTCAGAGTGTTTTTCTTTGATATTACTATGAAAATTAGGGTGGCAGACCTGTCATTTTAAGTAGTTAAACATAAGATTTCAGCTTTCGAGAATCTCTAACCAAACTTTTTGCAGTTTTTTAAAGCCGGTTTTAACCTTAGTTTTAACATTACTCATCCAAAAAGAACTACAATGGATGGAGTACCATTTTAAGTGAGCTTTATTTACTATACATTGAATTAGGTGGTTTTGTGTGTTACTTCCATCATTTACTAAATATCTTAATTGATATAATGACTTAAACATGATAGTCTCTCCAAATAATAAAGTGTGTCTAGATCTGTGAATATTATGTTATATATAACAGTGTCAAGATTAACATTTCATTTTCTTCCAGCTTTATTCAGATAAAATACCTGAATGCTACAGTTTATATTCAAAGCCTAGCTAGAGAAGTGCTAGAAAATAATAGAAAGGGATATGTCAAAAGGTTACAGGATCCAACTTGAAGGAACTCCCAATGACCAAAATCTGGAACAACATGAAAAACAAAATATATAACACAGTGTGCCGTTATAATCCAAAGCATAAAATAAATATCTTTGAAATCAGTCCATACCGATATAAATGATTGAATAACTAAACAAATGGAGACAAATATATGGGAGATAAATTCCTTTAAAGAATTCCAAAAGAATTATAGATAACATATGTAGATACTTCCCCACCCCTGGAAAATGGTGCTTAATGCACCCCTTACCCAGCCCTTTGATTGTAGACTGTACTGAGTAACTCCTGTACAAAGAATAGAGGATGTATAGGGGTAATAGCATGTAATGGGACAAACGGTAACTGCACTTGTGGCGAGCATAACATAATGTATAAACTTGTCAAATCAGTAAGTTTTATACTTGAAACTAATGGAACATTGTGTGTCAACTATATTCAGATAAAAACAAACAAAACAAAAACAAAAGTCAAGAGACAAAGGGTGAGGTAAGGGTGGGAGGTAACTTTGGAATGGAGAAACTTGGCAAATACAATCTCAGATAAAGTTAACATTAACAGTGGTATCTTGTTGATAGCATATACCCTTTGATAAGATGTGATCATAATGTCCTATTAAATGACCCTTCACCCCAGTGGTATCTATCACCAAAACCCATAGCCCCAGGCTTTAACCATCAGAAAAGACAATTGTCAAACCCAAACTGAGGGGCATTCTACAAAATACCTAACCTAGTACTCCTCAAAAGTATAAAATGAAATACAAGTGACATCTGAGAAACTGTCACAGATGAGAAGAGTTTATAAGATGTAAAGACTATGTAATAAAACCCATCCTGGGTGGGATCCTAAAACAGAAAAAGAACATTAGGGGGTTAAAAACTAGTGAAATCTAAATGAGGTGTGGAGTTTAGTTAATAGTAATGTACCAATTTGTTTCTTAGTTGTGGCAATTCAGCACAATAAAATGTTAACGAGATACTGGGTGGAGAGTATGTACCTACTTGGTACTATCTTTGCAACTCTTTTACAAATATAAAACCATTATAAAAATATTTATTAAAAAATACAACTATATGTACATACCTACATTTTCCCAGAGTCACTGTGGATGATATAACTCTAGAAAATCAAAAACCAACCAAACAAAACCCCTTAGAACTAGCAGCAATATTCATTGATTCCTGAGACGTCTGAAGCATCCTAGAGAACAATGATTCAGCCAGTACTATTTTATTTGTTTAAAGATTTTATTTATTGAGTGATTGCAAGAGCATGAGCCGGGGGAAGGTATGAGGGAGAGGAGATAGAGATCCCAAGCCGACTCTGCACCGAGCCTTGAGCCCCATGCAGGGCTCCATCCCAAGACCCTGAGATCATCTCCTGAGCCAAAACCGAGAGTCAGACACTTAGCTGACTGAGTCACTCAGGTGCCCCCAGCCAGTACTATTTTAAATTGGTTCTAAAGTAACTCTTTATTTTTCCATTCTTAATCCCTCAACCCATCACCCACTGTTT